GGAGGAGATGGCGAGCTTTCCTTTGAACAGATCAATTTTGTTGAGGAATAGAATGATTGGTTTGCGCTTGAACCATTCGCCGTTGACTAATGATTCGAATAACATCATAGCCTCGTGCATTTGATTCTGTGGAATATAATTAGCGGTGCGAGCGAGGAAATTGGGGGAAATTAGGCTTACGGCATTCTGGTCTTCGACCAGACATTGGTCGTATCCAGATAAAGCGACCATGAACAAAAGACACTGGACACCCTCAAAGCAATGGATCCATTTCTTCCGTTCGGACCGTTGTCCGCCAACATCCATCATGCGGAAGTTCATCTGTCCGAGTTCAAACAGAGTTTCCGTAATACCCGTTGTCCGGAGTCGAGCCTGCAACATGTCCTGATTATCAGGAAGCCAGCCCTGAGTGAATATGCGATCGAGAGATTCATAGAAACTAAGTATCGTCAGCCTAGGTTCATGTAACGTATCGCCAATTCGACTTACTAGTGCAAATTATCATGGAGAGCAAATTCATGCCCCCGTGCAACGGCCTTTTGCACACCGTCGTCCTTCCACATGGCCCTCATTGCATCGCGAACCTCGAGATCGGAGAAGGCTTCGTCGGACCCTACATCTGGGTCCGTATTGTCTAATAGGTCCGCAAATGGCTTTCAACCCTGTGTCAGCTGATGTAGGTCTCATGAGGAACAGGGTGGTTGGTACCTTGATCTTTTCCCCATTCTCGAAATCGATATCCTCGGCATTCATAATATCCAACAACACCTTGAAGGCAATGACGAGGTTTGAGTAGATTATGGCACGGGTTTGGTGACGCTCTTCCTCGGGGAAGCCTCGACTGTGAATGATTCGCATCTGCTTGATAATGGTGGACTTCCCAGACTCTCCCGCTCCTGAGTATTTTGTTAGTAACGCGACACTGGAGTAAACCGACAATCAACCGAGAACCACCCACCTAATAGCAAAATCTTGATGGTCCGGTCCAGCGTCTTCTTGTCATTCTTGATCGTCCGGTCAATACGCGCATTGCGCTGAAAAGCATCCCTATCGGCCTCCTCGGGCTTCGAAATTAAGCAACCCATGGTTCACGTCCGGTGACGACAAACTACCTAGCGCGATGGTGGTTAGCAACGGTTGATTGCAAGCTGAACTGGTTTAACAGGGGACTCGACGCATCAACGACGTGTATTTGATCTGAGTCAGGGATGCGATTGGATTGCGCCACACGGGAGTTCAGTCGAAGCTCAGAGACAAGAGACTCGACTAGACTCTACCAGACTTGACAAGTGACTGGACTCTTCGCACAAGGTAGTAGATGTACCTACCTCCCAAAGAAAGAACAAAAATACTCCCGTCTGCCAAAGTCCAACCCAATGTCGAATGACTGGTGTGCGACGTGATAAGCAGAAGCTTGAGAGGTTCGATCGGTGCTTCCGTTGTTCCCCACACCTATCGACCACGTTCCGTTGAAAATTGGGCAGTTGTGTTTCCAATTGGACCAGGTTATCCTCCGAGACAGGCGCCGAATTCGTGTGAGCGACACAATGTCAGCCTACCGAAGGCCAAATGGGAAGCTCGAGGGGGAAAAGACGTTGGCGGTGACGGGGAAAGCCGAGATCGCGTTCCAAAGTTCAAAAGATGGGTCTTTCCCGACTTCTGAGGACAAAAGGACGTTTCGGAAGCTGAGAGCCGAGTTCTCCGGAGGGGAGAGGGGGATAAATGGAAGAAATGGAATGGCGCATTCAAGGTCGTACGTCTCTCCCGTCCCACGAGCGAGTCCACAAGCGGGGAGAGATGATCAACTCCTGTCAGATATTCTGGTATTCTGGTATGATGGTATGATGGTATATTTATTTCGGTATCTTTGTCTTCAATGTCTGTCAACATTCAGTATTTGAAGTATTTCCAGGTATTCTCTCTGGAATGGGAAGATTTGGAAAATATATCAATATATGTTTCTTCTCCCTTATCATTTCCCTTAATTATTTTATTTCTTTTGATCTCATTTCGACGATCTCCTCTTTGTATTGAAATACAATGGCTTTACTCAGTACTCCGTACTCCGTTCAAATCTTCACTTGGTTCCCAAGGGGGGCGCTAGACCGATCCACCATGGGGCGTTTGACCCCCCCCTGTCTGCAGCCTCTACAACATCCAAGTTGAATTCAATAACTGTAAACGGATACTGCAGTTTGTTTCTTCTATTACTCTTTCATTTTCTGATAGTAAATATTTTACAGTCTTGCAGGAGACAAAGGGAGAGAGGGAAACCCTTGTAAATTCATCAATAGCACTATTGAAAGCGCTTCGGCTACACCACGCATTGATCCAATCAGCAGGATTTTGCGAACAATTGAATTGTTTTCCCCCTTCTTTTTTTCTTTTCCTTCTTTTCTTACTTTTCTTACTTTCTTTTTTTCAGGATAAGAAAATAACTACCCCGTACATAGCTAACATGGCGTGGAAACATGTACAACATACAGAGTAGTACTCTATACAACATCTGATATGTACAATACAAAGGGACAAAAGGACACAGTACATAATGTACAGAGCACAATTTGTGCATTCGCCAAGCCAATGTGGAATGCAAAAGCTCTAGCGATCGACATAAAGGTGCTGAAACCCGCATGGGCGTGCCAGTGGGTAATGCAAGGGCCATTCTGAAACGTTGGCGGATTCCTGTCCCGGTTCAACACTAAGGATCTACTTAAATCACGGACATGTTCTTCTTTTCTGCTTACTTCTCATAGAGGTTTAACCCCGTTTACGTCCACTAGAGAGCCCCTGAGATTTGGATTCGTCAAGAGAACTGGATGGAGTACGGAGTAAATTCACAACCATACAGTTCTGCCGAGGTTCAGGCGGACCTAAGACTAGCGCTTAGGGGGTTCCGCACAAACCACTTAAAGAGTTCGAATCCAACATCCGCTCACTTTTACGCTATCACAAGCACATTCTAAAGAACTCGAATAAGATAAACAGATGTCCAGCACGGAGTAGACCGTGACTACTTTGTATAATTTTCTTTCGTAACACTTACTCTAGGCCACTAACAAGGGTTTAAAATAGAGACCAATTGCCCCATCTACCGTTCACAGTCTTCAGTTTCAAGACAATGATGTTCATTAATTGCGGGTAATCTCACCACGCCATGCTTGTACTAAGGCAGGGGGTGATCCTTTCAGGACTAGTCAAATGCACCTGTGGGTATTTATTAGCCTCTCAAAAGCCAAGTCGCATTTAACTGATTCCTAAGAATATATACTCCGTACGGAGTACAAAAGTACTCCATACAACGTTGTAGGTATTTTGTTTTGTATGGAACTAACCCGGATCATCCTGGACCAGCTTATTTCGCATCCCTGAACGAAAAAAAAAAAACTCCGTGGCCCGACGTGACCCGATATGGTATAAGATTCGTCATCTCGGAGATGTGATCGAGGCTATACTTATGATACGTATGCATATACTCCGTACAGAGTATGGAGACTTCTACCCGTGGACCCCCAGTTGATTACCAGCTGCTTAATGTAAAAGAGAATGCATGCTTCAACCCTGAGATTGTCTTCTGCCTCCACATGCAACTCCAGCGGAATTTCCCACGTGTGGGCCCCATCTTTTCTCTGAAGGTCAGAAGGCATACCCGAGGTATCGACTTTTTCGTATGCACTTATTTCCTGTCATCCTATTATTCTATTTATGCAGAATGGTACTTCACTGGTATCATGAAGCTCTGGCAAATCTTCATAGTGAACCCCTAAGCCTTTTCACTATGCTTAAAACCCCGAATGCCTTATATATAGTACATTGTATATGTAAATATATACCAGATCCTTCTCGTCTAAAAATATTGCAATATAATTCCCGGACCAAGACCGAACACACATGTACGGAGGAAATAGATAGGGTTTAGGATCGTCAAAGCCAAACGCCACCAAAAAAAAATCACTCTGAAAGACCATCTAATATTAGCTATCATCTGCCCATATATAAATATATACTTACCTACGGAGTACGGAGACATTAGTAGGAACTCTACTCCGTACCTATGGCTAGTGCGAAAGCTAACGATGAACCCGTCTACGCCAACGGCCAAACTACTCAGGGCGTTGAATAACATTCGAGCAATTTAAACGTTGTTGATCAGCATTTGACAGCAGGTCCAGTTTCTGGGTTTTTCTTATCGTCCGAGCGTGAGTCGTTCGGGAATAGCTCCGGCTGAGATACCTAGTCTAGTATGCTCCGTAGTACTCGTCAGATTAGTCAGGAAGGAATATCGGACACGTCCGGAAATGTGTTTTTTTTTGTCGAATATAAAAGGAGAAAAAAGCAAGGAATGAAATATGGAGAACCTTGCCTGTTTTTAGTGGCCGTTTCGATGGGTCTGTCTTCAGACTATGGTCCTGCAGGATTGCGAGGACCGGAATACATACTCCGTACTCGTAAAAGTAATCTGTCGAAAGTATATATCCTTTAATTTTTCTTTTTATCACTAGTCCTATGTTAAGGGATACAGAGTGCAGACCATTTGTCTTTCCTTTTCTACCAGTAAGATATCCTAGTGTCGACATAGTTTCCACCAGCAAAGCTACATAAATTGAAATTTTTGTACTCCACACGGAGTCCTCCGTATTGACTAAAGTAGTGATCAATTGGATAACTAGACCAACAATAGTAAAAAATTTACTTCCAGTGGGGACCCTTGATATTACACTTTCCATAGCTGTCAGCGTAGCTTGAGCAATATATGTGAAGCTTTCTTTGCACTAAGATATCAGAAAGTTAAGGACAATCAACTGCACATGTTCGAGTATTGACCATTCAATTTCTCCTTACAATGATTGAGCATACTGTAGTTAACTATAAATGGTTTAGATGAGACCAAATATTGATGACGTCACTGAAATGTTCCAGACCTCGGGAACGTACATACGCAGAGACTACACCCCGCAGAACCGAGTTTTATATTCACTCCGTAATCTTCCAGGTCTACAATGAGCCGCACACAGAAAAAAGCACTAGTGGTTATCTTCCCCGGGTTCAACGTTCTCGATGTGAGCGGTCCAGTTTCAGTACTTTACAATTCGGACTTCTCCGTTAGCTATGCTGCGAAGGATGAACTCACAACATCTCAAGAGAGCGCAACAATTAAGAGAGACATATCCCTTGCTGAAGCCAAACTTCATCTGTCAGATTATGAAATATTGATCGTCCCTGGCTCACGGCCAAATAATATCCTGCCGCACATGGAACCCGAACAGGGGCAGCTATCAGAGCTTGTTAAATTTATCGCCTGTTTTGCATCTGACACAGATCAAGATAACGTACGGCAGCGTACCATCTTGGCAGTTTGCATTGGAGCCTACCTCTTAGCCTCTGGGGGTGTACTTGATGGCCTCACTGCAACTACACACCGTCTTGCGCTCCCCGGGCTACGAGGTGCGACTCAACATTATCTGGATCAAACTCCCGGTGCGAAGGGTACTAGAATCGTCCCCGAAGATCCCTCAGACCTGGTTTCTTATTTGGATGCTGGCCTGAACCAGTTCGGAGTCAGAATCATCACGACAGGCGCTATGGTCAATGGCATCGATGCCGCATTGCATTTCGTCAGCCTTGGTTTGAGTCGATCACTTGCAATTGAGGTCGCAGAGATCATGGGGCATCGATGGAAGGATATATAGATCAAGGGAAACAGTGGGGTTAAGGTTATCTTGGCAGAGCTAGTATTTTTTTTCCATGCACTCCTTGCATTCTGGCCATGTGATAATTATGGAGTATTGCGAGACACTATTATATGCAGGCAATTTGAAACAAAAATCACCACATAGGGCTGGAACTCTGTTGTCACGCGGCCGCCTAACGCAAGCCACCTATCGATTCAACAATTTCTCAAATATCAACATGTCACGCTCAAAGAGTATAATACCATCCTGACATACCCTCGATCTGACCATTTGTCTCCCGTGCCTTTTTGTTTGTTTTCCAAAAGTGGAAGTCCATCATTAGGGTTAAGCATATGCTAACCATTGCAATACCAAATGTCACCCAAATTCCCGTAGTATAATGCGGACTTTCATCAGATTTGAACGTGACACTTGCAATGATGCCCCCGAGTCCCCCGCCAATCAGACAGGTTGCTGATGCGACTCCACGTTTCGAGTGGGAAGTAATGTTGTTTGCTTGGAATGCCAGCACACCGGGGATACAGAACTGTAGGAATCCCACACCTAGAGTATAAAGTTAGATGTATAACAATTCATCCCGAAAAGATTGAGAGCTCACCCATGAATATCCCAAAGTACCTTGCACCACTTGCACCGCCATAGGCTGTGATCAACATCCCCACTGCTGTCAGTAGTTGATGGACAGCAATCACCGGCCCGCGGATTTGGTATTTATCGGTGAGCCAGCCACCTAAATATGTAAAGAATGCAGCAATGATGTAAGGCGGGGCACTGAGAAGTTGACTTTGCGTGTTGCTGAAACCCATGCCCATGAGAATGACCGTCTTGAAGTAGCTGTACGCATATCCGGGCAGGGTGGAGGCCATGAGATTGAACGCCCAGACGTACAGCTTCCAGTCCTTAAGATGATGAAGAACACGTTCCATGGTAATTGGATCCTCTTCCGCATCTCCACTGTCGTTGTTGATGCGAGCGATGATAAATTCTTTTTCCTCCGGCTTGAGAAACGCACCTGCTTGAGTCGGAAAATCGATGATGATGAACCAGCCAATTAAACAAATGCTACTTGTAATGGCACCTTCAACAATGAAAATCCCTAGAGTGTTATCGATGTCAGCCGTTTCTGTTCTCACGATATGGTGGTGAATAACCCACAGCGCCATCCGTTCAGACCGTAGCTCCCGTCTAGGAGGGTCAAGGCATAAGCAAAGATTGCCGCGAATGCGTTCAGCACAACAGAAACCAGCCAGAAAGTGGCCAGCCTCTTGCCCACCTCAAATCGCGTATACCAACATGTAATTAGATAGGTACAACCTGTATAGTTAGTAATGCTTACCTTGGAGAAACAGGTCATTTTGACATACCTGGAAGAAATCCGGCTTCCATCACACCTAAAAAAGGCACCGGGTCACTAAGGTAAAACAGGAAAGGAGGACATTTCTTTACCTAGCAGGACTCGGCAAACTACCATTGTTGTCCAACTTCTGGTGAAACCCATGCCGATCAAGATTACTCCAAAACTAAATCCAAGAAACGCTAGCCAGTTTGCTGCACCGGCTCGGGGAAGGATCAAATTCTGAGTTTCATCTATCAGTGATGATTCCTGGTTGAGGAGCGCAGACGTACGCTGGGTATCTCGAATATACTAAGTGAGATGAAAAGTTAGACAATTAGTGTACCTCGAAGTCTCCAGGTTGTATCAAAGAGCTTACATATATGCCACGAAAAATACCATAACAACGATCGTATACCTACTGCCAATGTCAAGTCCAAGATCCTGTTCCATCCCTGCTACAAATGCAAGACCAAGGTTGGTCCTGTCAATAAGCGATATGGAATACATGATCCCAAGAATTGGAAGGAGGCGGAGATCAACGCGTCGACTAGTCCAAGCATTAGAGTTGGCTTGCTGACCATGTTATACTGTAGAGAGAACGTACATGACCCTTTTTTGATGTGCCTCGTCAATGCCATACACAGGAGGTTCATTGCCAGGGCTGCGATGTGCCAACTCTTGTTCCTCAAGGTGGATGAATTCCAAGTCCTCTTTCTTTATAGATCCATCTTCATGGGGGCTAGCTGAAATTAATGCCATTGTCGTTGTCGTGACTTGATGGGTTCCTTGGTGCTTCGACAAATCGAAAGAAGAAAAATATGATGTGGATTGGAAATACCTACACAGGCGGTACTTTTAAGAGCATACTTTAAGAGAATCTTAACCGAGCTTATCCAACATAATAGTGACACCTTTGCGACAAACCTCGGACCAAGATGGGCAATTGAAGTATCCGGGGAACTACCAAGACTACCCCTCAGCTTTGCGCTTGATGCCAAGCAGCAGAGGAGGGCATGAAAAGCCGGGGAAGTCTTGGTATAACTTGGCATCAAGAAGGAGTAGCCTATCATATACCGGGATCTCCCAGATATCTGATGTAAAATGTGATGTGGAGGGTTGTGGCATAAAACCCCCGCACAGCACCAAAATCGAAAGAGGCTGTGGTGAGCAAGTAGCCTTTATATCAACCTTAGCTTGAAGAGGAAGCATGCTCAAGTCGCAGCAATAAGTTTGGTCATGGACCCCTAAACATATGCATAGCCAAATAGCAACTGCAACTACTGATAGAGCCACATATTACTATCCTTGCACAGTGTAACAAGAATATCAAGATCGTTAATCTATGATAATATATAGTACAGGAAGAGGGACAACCTATCTACTGGACGATCGTAACGGTCTCGTGAAACAAGGAGCCTAATGAATGCTTCTGACATCACAGGATCTTTTCGTCCCTTCAGATCAGTCCTTCCTAATATATATATTTTATTTCGTTATTTCGGTCAATTTCCCTAGGTGGGATATGTTAAATACGTCACACAGGGGTCACTATTGAAACCTACGTGTGATGTTTTGATCAAAAAGAGAGACGAAATGTCCCTGGTCTGAACATACACCGTTTGGATACCGATCAAAAAATTTTCTATCAACGAGGCGTGTTGAAATCGCTATAAATCTCCATGACTCATGCGAATAGGCCTTTTAATCAAGTCAGATTGTCCAACGTGGCATGAGTATGTTGGCTTTCCATGCTTGAACCTCAAGAATCAAACTCAATCGCGGTGCGCAACTGTATATATAATATTCGGCTATATGCTCTCTATAACAGCCTTGAGTCAGGCCGAAATACCAAGGTTTACCCATCATTCCCCGCTCCCCCCAAATGCCCAGTATTCCAGTAGATATTCCAATGTTCAGAGCTTTGACAAGACGCTATAATCTGAGGTGCTTTCAGTATCCTAAATATACTCAACAATAGTGCAATTGAATCTCGGGGCTCCACTTCAAATAGATCTGTCATGGCATGGGGCACTTCATACAGCGGTACCCGCATGCTCTAGGTGGACACAATGTACTCTTTCCTGTATCAATATGCTCGCGATTCATACATCATAATGGCTACTAGAATGGTATAATCTGTGCCAAATTATGAGTTGTCTATTTATAGAGGGTGGATCAAGAATCTGTGTATGTACCCAGGTAGATAGATATGTGGATAGATATGCTTGATAGGAAAAGCTCCCCACCCTTACCCCTCACAACGACTGCGCATTACATTTCTCTCATACCTCTTGTTGTATCTCCTTTACAATGGCAAATAAAATATTGTCAATAGCTGACCTCGAGGAGGCGGCTTCCAACTCACTATCTGTCTCCGCGAGAGGTATGTGTCGAATCTCCCTCATTTTGCCGATATCTATCTTTAACGCGGGGAAATAGACTTCTTCAACTCTGGCGCAACGAACCAAGTCACACTTCACGACAATTATGCTGCTTATAGAAAGTACCGCCTCTTGCCAAGAGTTCTGAGGGATGTCTCACTTGTTGATACTGGAATTTCCCTCTTTGACCGAGACATTAAATTTCCGCTATGTGTCTCACCTGCCGGAATGCAGGCCATGGCTCACCCAGAAGGCGAGCTGGCCACAAGCCGAGCCTGTGCCAAAATGGGCATCAATATGGGTGTCTCCTCCTATGCCAACCACTCGGTTGAAGAGATCACCGTCGCTGGAAAAGAAGTGGGACCAATTCACCATGTGATGCAGCTCTACGCGATGAACGACAAAGCTAAACAAGAGCGCATCGTCCGTCGGGCTGAGGCTGCGGGGTGCAAGGCTATATTCCTGACTGCAGATAGTCCCGTACTTGGGGTGCGTTGGAATGAATGGCGAAATGGATTCATGCCTCCAGTTGGCTTGGGGTATCCGATGTACGAGAGAACATCTGCCGAGATTCAACAACAATCTCACGACGATGGGTTTAGCTCGACAAACTCGGATTCCCATTCCTGGGCCACAGAGATACCATGGTTACGTAGAGTGACGAAGATGGAGATTTGGATTAAAGGAGTTCTCACTCCGGAAGATGTCGAGACTGCTATTGAATATGGCTGCGATGGTATTATCATCAGCAATCATGGTGGTCGGCAGCTGGATGAGACACCGGCCACAATCGATGCACTTCCTGCCTGTGCTAAGGCGGCGCGGGGGCGGATCAAGATCCATATTGACGGTGGAATTCGATCCGGGGTGGACATTTTCAAAGCCTTGGCTCTTGGTGCTGAGTGCTGCTGGGTTGGTCGTCCTGCACTGTGGGGACTTGCGGTAAGTGCTCCTTGTTACATTAAGGATCCTGGTAGAGGCGGGTATACTGACCTCTTTCTGCAGTATGACGGTCAACAGGGAGTCGAGCTGATGCTTAGGATCTTGTTCGACGACTTCAAGCGATGTATGCAGCTTACGGGCTGTAAATCCATCTCTGACATTAGCTCGGCAAGTCTAGCGATTGTCAATGCATATGGGCCTTTGGCTAGACTGTGATGTACAATGTTGTGATGACGCCTGATACTTGAGGCCCTTCCACCTATCTCAGTGTATACTCACTTCTTGGACAAATTATACGCATCAGACCATTTTTAGAAGGCTGTTGATAGACTCTGACTCTTTTGTGGGGGAGGGGGCGAAACTGAATGGCCTAGAGCATCGTCGTCTTGTGACCTATGGGATTTGCTCATATTTTGAACGGACAACTCTGCTATTGCTATCAGATCAGTTCCATCAAACCCCATTCATTCCATATTTAGCTAAGATAAATTGTGGACATGAAAATCAATTACCGGTTGCCCGATAGGTTATAACAATAGCCCACTTCCAGGGCTTCTTTCCCACAGACTGGTCGCCCAGCGTCCACCGGGGTGTGACCTCAACTTCTTGGAGAAGATGAATAGTCACAGAGCAAATATACTCGCCAACCATAATACATACATATGTAGTTGACCGGCTCTAGGTAGGGTAGTATGTCGTCCTGAGGACCTCACCTGGGCAACCTTCCAAGGTTGGAATGCAAGCCGCTGAGTCATCAATGGTGGGCCCTGGCTAGGCAACCTGTGCAGCCCAGCTGGAGCTGCCAAGAGTTCGCCGGGGGGCTCCGAGTGTGACGCCATTCCGACCCCAGCTTCTCCTCATTGCCCAAGGAGTTATATGCACCGAGGACTCATCCAATCCATGACTCTCGGATTGGCATTATCTTTTTAAAACAGTATAGTATTTCCAAAATTGGCTCCGCCACCATTTAGGTATGCCTTTCTGAGTGCATTGTGTTCGACACATATGAAGAGGTGCTAATAGCTCCTCAGCGACCATAGCAAGCGTGACTCCAACAACTCGTTTCACAGTATGCAGTCCGAGAAAGGTCCGCTTCTGGATGTAAACGAGGTCTACGATTCCGAGGACAATGACTTTGTTTCCAGCCACACCAGTCACAATAGACTACAAAGAACTCGCCCTTGCTGGGCGAGAGCCCTGAGGAAAGGGCTCTGCGTCTTTGTGGTCACCGGTCTTATCACCTACTATCTAGGTTTCCCGCATGGTATGTGTCCTTTCTCCCTATTACAACACGTCGCTGACATGACTGTCCTTGCGATTAGGCTCCCCATCTACCGAGAAGAAGCTGTCCCCGCACCCCGAGGCTCCCCCGCTTTGCCAGTCGCAAGAATGCATTCATGCTGCATCTGAAATTCTCTATAACCTGGACCCCAACTATGAGAACATAGATCCCTGCACTGATTTCGACCAATATGTCTGCGGTGGATGGAGGGAGCGCCATGACATGCGGCCCGATCAGGGATCGATATTTGCGGGCACAATCATGGGAGAGAATGCCCAGACTAGACTTCGTCATATATTGGAGCGCACAGAAGCGCCACAGTCATCTGATGCTGACAATCTCAAGAAATTGAAAGCTGCATACAATGCTTGCTTAGATGAGGCTACTGTCAATGAACGGGGCAGCAAGCCTTTGACTAATATTCTGGATGAACTGAAGACTATCTATCCCCCACAGGCAGGGCTTGTGAAAGGAGCGCAGGATCACCTCACCAGTGCTCTGTTGTATCTGGCGAACGCTGGTGTTGAGGCTCTAACTTCTTCCGGTGTCACTGTAAGTCTATGCGGCCTATACTTCACGAACGCCACTAACAACTCCTGCTAGCCCGACGATAGAGACCCTGATAATGTTGTTATCATGGTCTCGCCGCCTCGTGAAATCGGACTTCCCGCAAGAGAGTACTATAATAACACAAAGACCGTGGCGGAATACACGGCCGTTTTGAAGCACGTAGTTCAGGGACTTGTTGGAGATGGATTCGACAAAACTGCCGAGGATGTTGTCGCCTTTGAAAAAAAGCTCGCAGATGTGACTCCAGACACCCAAACCCAGGAAGATGTCACCAAATACTACAATCCCCTTAGTGTCAAGGAAACGGAGGCACTGGTACCTGAGATCTCATTTTCTGATTTTATTTCATCTTTGGCACCCCATGACTACAAAGGTGATCGCCTAATTGTTGGGTCGCCTTCCTATATGAAGGCATTATCTGTTCTCTTGAAAGATACGCCCAGAGAGACCATCCTGCTCTTCTTACAGTGGAAGCTCATCCAAGCGTTTGCCGGTGTTATCGAGGATGCTTCCATTGAACCTCTTCGGCGATTCGAGAATGAACTCGCTGGAAAAGAGCCTCAGGCCAAGCAGGAGCGATGGCGTAAATGCCTTAGGCATCTGGATGAAGGCCTTGAATGGAGTCTCAGCCGTTTCTATGTGCTCGATGCGTTCTCCGAGGACTCGAAAAAACTCGGTGATCAGATTGTTTCCGATATCAAGGAGAGATTTATCTTCACCCTAGACCAAACCAACTGGATGTCTCCTGATGTGCGAAAATTGGGGATCGAGAAGGTGGGCAACATTATCCAAAAGATCGGATTTCCCACAAAGAGTCCCAATGTTTTAGACCCCGAAGATGTGAATAAATTCTACCGGGAGCTGGAATTGTCCAAGGACACTTTCTTTGAGAATGAGGTGGCCGTGGCGAGGTTCCAACTTCGCAGCGAATGGTCTAAGCTCGGAAAGCCCACCAACCGTGACGAATGGGGCATGAGTGCCCCGACTGTCAATGCCTATTACAACCCGCCAGGTAATGAGATCGTCTTCCCTGCCGGCATTATGCAGCCGCCAGCGTTCTATGGACCTTCCGCTCCGTTGTATCTGGCATATGGTGCATTTGGTGCCGTCAGCGGCCACGAACTTTCACATGGTATGCTAAATTCCTTAAAAAGCTCCTGTCTTTTCTATAACTAATCAAAATCTCATAGCTTTCGATTCCACCGGTCGGCACTACGACGAGAGTGGAAACTACACTAACTGGTGGGATGATAAGACCGTTGAAGCATTTGAAGAGCGTGCTCAATGCTTTGTCGACCAGTACTCCAAGTTTACTGTCACTGGTCCCGAGGGCAAGGTTCTCCATGTGAATGGACGGTTGACACTGGGCGAGAACATCGCCGACGCTGGAGGGTTGACAGCGTCCTACCACGCATGGAAAAAGCACGATGAGGCAAAGCCTGACCCCCACCTCCCGGGATTGGATGCATTCACCAAAGAGCAGCTATTCTTTATATCTTATGGTAATTGGTGGTGTGGAAAGACTACCAAGGAGGCGGCCGAGCAGGCGATCTATAACGATCCCCATGCGCCTAAATCGGCACGAATTATCGTGAGTCTCATCAATGCATTCCTTTATTTGTGTATCATGACTGACCACTGCCACAGGAGACTATGGCGAACTCTAGGGAGTTCAAGGATGCCTTTAGTTGCCCGGATAGGAAGCCAGCTTGCAAGCTCTGGTAGTTTTGAATAGATTACTGTGAATGGCATTTAGTTGCTTTCATGATATTTGAGTTATTCGAGTATTGTGACACTGGTCCCAAGTGTCTACATATGTAGCTGTGCCCCAGTCCCATTTCAGCCTTGCCCAGTACCCGAATATAGATTGTAATTTCCCCGCTTTTACAACAATACCTCGTCGATGCACATCCACCATAGGGCTTTTTACGAGTTCAGTAGAAAATTCTTCACGTTCATTACACATTTAGACATTCATTCTCACCAAGCGACCGTGGATGTAATGATACTTGGGGAATAGGGGTAGGGTTATTTCGTGATATCTCCAACGCCCAGTCTCCCGCTGGGATTGAAGCAACTGGGGTAGTAACATTAACCCGAGATGCCGAAACCCTACAGCTGCTGACCTCCATAGCCATGCCCAACACAAGTGGGAACGGGTCCCAGGCTAGGAAAACATTATCGGTCAGATCCCGGGAAGACAAAGGAAGAGGAAGAGGTAACTAAAGGGTTAGCCAGTGGATTTAGTTTACCGATTACCTAGATCAGTAAGGTTTGGGCCCCCTCACTTCTTCAGAGGTGATTTTAATTTAATATCGATATATCAATTGTCAATTTATTATGGATCACTGTCAGTTTGATCGACATTTGACATGTGATGTCTCACCGGTAAGATAGGTGAGAGTAATTGAAGTCTTGTGGAATAATTATGCTTGGAATACTCCATACTCCGTAGGCAGCTCATGAGATACAATAATAATCATAATAAAGGATGAATCTATAAAGTAGCCCCCCAAAGAATTTAACAAAATAAAAATAAAACATAACCGATTTCCTCCTAAATTTCTAATCATACGATGCTCAGATCTTGTATGAATCTTGCGCTAGCATGGGTCTATAAAAGTAGGGCAGCCAATGATCTAAATTAGGGCGCTGCGCGGTAATTTCCTGGGCTTTACGATGAGAGAGGTCACACAATTAAATCTTGTCCTATCCCGTACCTCCAGGGCTATCTACTACTCCGTATGTTTGAGATGAATTAAGACGAATTTTTGGGTTAAGCCACTACTCCGTATGAAGTACTCCATAATACTCCATAATACTCCGTACAAAGTAAGACATCTGAGTTGATCGACCCAGATCCGGGATATGTCAGACAGCTAGCCCCAATTTTCCCTTCGCGTCACTATTAAAGTGGAGGAAATAACGGCGGACAATTCAGCCAACCAGAATCCCTGTTTGCACCGCCAATATAGGTACTTTGGGCTCCGAGATGATTTTCACCGGCCTTCCGGAACGTACCTATCACCTTTCTTACACAGCTTTGGACGGTGTGCTCCGTACTCCGGACTTTGTACCACATACATAGTAGAGAGAAATAAGTAACGAGTAGGAATAAAGTGCATACAGTACATACAGTATATGTAGGGAGAGAGGCCGATATACTCCGTACAACAACATAGAAAATCAAATAATAAAAAAAACCGGTAAAAGGGGCTCTACTATGTATTGAATGGCCCCAGCGTTCCCAGTGAGTGCCCAGGTGCCCACTGTGTTCTTCCACCGTGTCGGGTCATCTCCACAAAAACAAGAGCTGTCCGATTTCTTCCCTTTTTTTTTTTTTTTCCTTTTTTTCCTTTTTCTT